AACAATTATTATAATTTTCCAAGTTCAAAAATAAATCATGCAAAAGGCTAAGTGTTACAGGACAAGTAATCCCAGGCAGCAAATGTGTTTGGAATTTGGGAATATTTGGCACTGCCTCTGTTGAGAAGTGCAAACCGGTCTGCTTGAATGGAAGAATATGTGAGAAAGCTCTTGTACAGAGCAGTATAGCTTGTGAATGTGCCAAAGATGTAGACACACTTGGTGGGACAGTATTTTTTTTAAACAGTCTAGTACAGGCATTTCAGCACCAACACTAGTAACAGTGTCATTTTCCTCATTTAGTTTTGTCCTCAGAGGATACCAAAAGCTCCCAGAGGAGGTGTGTGTGTGTGTGTGTGGGGGGCACAATTATTTATCTATTGCAGTGAAAGACAAATCTTGGCAGTGGGGGCGGGGTGGGAAGCTGACCGGCCTGCATTCTCTAGTAGGGAAAACCTGCTACTCTAATTTGACAGTCGTCCTTTGAGCTGCTGAGAGAGCTGGGCATGATTTTGCAATTCCCATCAAGTGCAGGCAATTTCAGTACTTGCTGGGTTGTTGTTTACGTACGCGTTGTTGAGGGGATGTTTTTGGGTGTTCCTGCCTGTGGATATGAACTTGCGTGCTCCAGGCTGCACACCTGTGATGTCTATGGTTTCTCTGGAGGGAGGGGAAAGTTTTGGGCATGGTGTGGTGAACTGCTGCAGTTCTGCAGGCCTGCTTCCTGGGGTCAGGAGGTCACCTGCCTCTTTTGTATTTGGTTTTAAAATATTGATGTTGGCGATGAAGCCAGGATGGCTAGAATTGTGAAGCCTCTTCTCAAATCACATGCAAGAACTAGGAAAATAGGAAAAAAAGCAACCCAAAGTGGGTTGAAGAGGACAGCTTTGTTAGGCTCCCAGGAACTTTTCCATGAACTGCCCAGAATTTGCAACCTGTGGCTGCAGTTTCTTTAGAAGAGGGAGAGTGGGGGGGGGAACCCCACCCCCACACAGAAAAACAAAATAAAAATCAACCCTCTTAGGAGATACTTGAGCTATCCAGATCTTGTTTGGGGGTACAGTGAGAAGTCCAGATTGGGTGACATTACTTAAATTTCCACATCTTGCAAATACACAACTGCATTTTTATAAAACGTGGTCACTTGAAGCCCTGGCATTCCTTTTTGACACCGGTAAATTTTTGCCAGCTAGAAGAGACACTTCTTTGCCTCTAAGGTGGCAGGGAGCAGGGGTTCCAGAGAGGAGCTCTTGAGGAATAGTGACATGCCAGACTTTCCTGAGCTCCAGGAAGCTGCTGCTTTCCAGCTTTTTAGGCCAGTTTGAGGAAGGGAAGTTGCCAGTTTTATCAGCGCTTTAAATTAACCCTTCCTGTAGGGAGGCGAGAGGTAGACAGAGCGATAGGGAAAGGGGTCAGAAAATCTGAAGTCACCCTATTTTGTTTATGCCCCGTGATCAGAAGCTCTCCAAAGGGAAGCTCTTAGCTCAGGCTATGACCCTGACATCCTGGTAAAAAGGGAAGGTGTATCAATTGTGTGTACTTATCATCTCTCTGATCTGAGATTTCAAAGCCTGGTATTTGTGAGACCATAGGTGGTGAACCTTTGTCCTTTCACCTCTGGAGACTGACCCTGTAAGGCCTGTGTTGATCCTGCATTGAGGGGACCACAGCAGTGGCTGGAGGGGTGTCACCTACTCTGCTTGTGGCTCCCCAGCCTGGAAGGAGGACAGTTAATGCTATATAAACCAAGCACCCTATAAAACCTGCCGAGGTTTCTCTGATCATCAGCTGTATTGCCCTCTGGATTACCTTCACTATCACTCCGTTCTCATTTTCCTTTTTCTTGGAACCAAACCCAGCCCCCCCCAAACATTCTTCATGGTCATCACACTGTAGCCAACCACAGACACCCCACCAGAATGGGACACCTGATCGAGTGGAAGCAGAGAGTTACCGGCCAGGGAGGAGGCCCCAGAAGTCTCCACTGCCCTGGGGTCTTACCTGTGCCTGGGATGATGCTTCGCTCCTGCTGCAGTTTGTGGGCTTCTCTGTGCAGTGCTTGTCAATTTTTTCCCTTTTCTTTTTAAGCTTGAGGAGAACTTTTGGATGCAGTCGGATTTTGGTGGCAAAAGGGAAATGGTTTCTGTTGGACAGGACAACTAACAAGGGGAGGAGGGGCTGTCTGGAGACACTCACTTGCCCAGGGCGCAGCGCTGGGCCTCTTTTGCCAGGGGACAGCGTCTGGTTCTGGGATTGCTGGCTGAAAGGCTTGCTCTCTGGGTGCCAGGATTTCACCGGGGGTGGTGTGGTGAGGGGGAGGGAGGAGGGAGGGCACGAGGGAGAGGACAGAGATGGGCACTGGAGTTTTAAAGAGATCCTGAAATAATGACTTCTGTTAAGAGTGCAGGCATTGAAAGAGGTGTGCTGAAGGACCGCAGCGCATTCATGCCGAGGGGAATGTCTTTTATGGTAAATTAACTCTGGTTAAATTGAATATTTGTTCAAAGAGAAACTCCAGTAGTTGAAGCTGGTATTATCAGTAGCATGCCCCCTTCTCCTGCCCCCTCCCCCAATCTGGATTAGGAGCAGGAGAGGAATGTAGCATCAAGTGCAATATACAAAGTGATGAGTGGGAATATTTTTTTTTAGATGAGTTTGCTTAAATTTTTCAGAGAGAAATGAGTATTCATTGGATTCCCCTCCACTGTTACCCCATTTCTTTCATCTCTAAAGACCATCAACTTTATTCCAGCTTTTGGATAGGCATCAATACCCCACACAAAGGAAGTAGGTATAGTCAGAAGGACTTCAGGAGGCTTTGTCTGGGGGTGGGGAGGTGGGGTGCAGGGAGGCAGCCTTAGTGTGTGTGCCGTAAGTGTTAACTTGCGGGAGTTTTTTTGTAATTTCCCCCATTTTACCTGTCTTCCCAGACCCCTCATCCACCCCCTGCTGGCCTCCCCAACTCCCCTCACCCCAAATCGGGGGCCTCTCTTCTCTGGACTCTTGGTTTACGGGGGCTGCAGCTGGTAGACTTGGCAAGCTCGCCTCATTAAGAGCGTGCTTTGAAAACGGACTGTGTTTGAGCATTTCCCTAATGAGGACAGGACGGGGTTAAAAAGTGACCATTTCATGGTTGACTTGAACCTGCCTACTTTTCTTGATGTGTCGCTGTGAAATGCTTGATGTGGATAACTCCCACTTGGTGAAGGAAAAAGTCACTGGTTCCTTGAGGTCCGCTGGGGGCGGGGGGGGGAGACGGAAAGAGCGAAGAAAGTTGGGAGAACAGAGGAAACTGACAGAAGATCTCTGCCCCCAGCGCGGAGCTGGAAGCCCGGCTAGACCGCTGCCCCCCCAGGGGACGCAGAGCCCCCGGCGCTCACTGTGCTCGCCCCCATTGTCTGTGCAGCCGAGAGCCACCGGGGGCTGGTTGCGCATGGGGGCGCAGCGCCCGGCCGCCACTCTTCCCCAGACTCAGTCAAGTTCATTCTCCAGGCTCCCTCCCCGGAGCGGCACCCGCACCCCGCGCAGCCCCGCCCGCGGTACCCCGGCGGGGAGGGAGCCGCTTTCCGCCGGCGCCCTGGGCGTGGGGATTGGGTGCGCGCCAGCGAGGCTGCAGAAGGGGGAGCGAGGCGCGGGAGGAGGCGAGGGCGGCAGTGGGAGCGGCACACCCCTCCAGGTCCTCCCGCACCCTGCGAGGCCACGTGCGCCAGGCACCCCGGGGACAGCGGCAAACCGCGGTGAAGGCTGCGCGCAGCTCCGCCCAAGCCACCTGGGGTGCATGCTGGCCTGGGAAGACCCGAAGGACCCCCACTTCAGCCGGCGCAAAACGCGGGCTTCCAGCACCGCCCACCACAGCCGCGCGCGCCCCATCAACTAGAGTTCAAGTTCACTGCGCTGCAGCCGCGGCCCCCTCCCCCCTGCCTCGAGCCTGAGGGCTGGGCGGGCCGCGCCCCCTGTGCGAGTGTCGGCACCCCGGCCTCGGCCACAGCAGCCCGGGTGTGAGGGAATTTTCCACTCCTTCCTTTCTGTCGCCCAGACCCGCTCAGGGCTTCTCCCAGTCCGTTCCCGCAGCTTAAGAGTGCACCACGAGCCCCGAAATGTCCCTTCCCTAGCGGCTTTTCGGGGTGTGCAGGGTGGAAGGTGCTGTGAGGAGAGTAAAGGGCTTGCCCAAAGGGAGGACAGAGGATAGAGTTTGAGAAGAAGGGGGGGGGAAGTCATGGTTCTTCTGCACCCCTGTGAAATCTTTAGCAAAAAAAGCCGGAGAGCGAGTGAGAGAGACACGGAGGGAGAGAGGGGGAGGGAGGGAGAGGAAGGAAGAGAGGAGGGGGAGATGCGGGAGGAGGAGGAAGGTGGGGGGCGGGGGTGTGGAGAGGCTGGTGCAAAAGGAATGCGCGTTTGCAGGAGGAGGAGGAGTAAAGCGATGATTGTGTAATTAAATAATAAAACAATCCTTAAGTCTGATTTGGAGAGAGCTCGAGCGGGGTCCAGAGGGTGGAACCGGTGAATTTTTCAACTTCCAAGTTTTGCAACGAAAGAAAGCGAGCGAGGGAGGGGAAAAAAGGCGCCCAGAGCTGCAAAGAGTGGAGTTCGGAGGCGAGCGGCGAGCGGGGGAGCTCGTGGGGATCCCGCCGGAGAGCGTTCTGAGCCCTGGGCTCTGGGCGGCCGCAGGCTCCTCGCTTGGCCGGGTCAGCGGCGAGTCGGCCGGGCGCAGAGGAGCCGGCGGGTGCGGAGGAGCCTGCGGGCGCGAGGCTGCAGCCGGGACCTCGCGCCGCTTCCGCCCAGCCCTGCGCTCGCGCCCCTCACCCCGGCCTCTCCCGCGCGCCCCCCGCCCGCGCGCGCCCGCGCCCCTCGCGCGCACACACATGGTCGGCTCGCGGCAAAGTTTCGCTGGCGATTGCCACTCCTGGATCCTGCCGCAGTGCTTGGGGCTGTAACCTTGAACTTTCCCGGCGGTGACACATTCTCAGCAGCGCTCTCCCGCCTGCCCGCCCTCCCTCCTGCGCCCCCCTCCCCGCCTTTTTTAAAAAAGCATTCCACCCCCAGCCACCACCCCGCTCCGACCCACGCCGAACCTCCGCGCACCCCCAGGCCCCGACACCACCACCAACTGCAAAAGAGAAAACAAATCCCCAGACCCGGGCGCTACGCAGCCGGCGGCGGCCTCGGAGCACTGCCGGCGCGCACGAGCAGCGCGCAAGACGGCAAGAGGGTTAAAGTGTAGATTGGATTTCACCCCGGGAAATCCAGCTCGCCGAGTGAACTTGAATCTTTGGCTATTTAAGGCGGACTGGGTTGGTCGTGAAGTTGCGGTGAGCCAGCGCAGAGCCGTCCTGATTGATCGCCTCGCAGGGCGCAGATGACTCTAAAATGAATAGATGAAATTCTCGCTTCTCGACGATTTTCTTGGGCATCTCCGGGAAAGTGCGCTGTAAGGCGAAGTCATGATGTATTCTCCCATCTGTCTCACTCAGGTACATCTCGCGCTCGCTCTCTCCAGCTTGCTCTCTCGCCCGCAATGCCTTTGTTTTGGTTTGGTGGCCCTGGTCGTGCGGGCACCTAATGGCTGGCCTTCACCTCTGCACCCCGAGTGGCGGCGTGGGAGCGGCGCGCGGCCCCAGCCCCGCGCCCCGGG